CAGTTTCTGACGTCACAAGCCCTCCCGAAACAGTCTCAAGCGAGTAGTCGGAATCAGACTCCACCATAGACAGTCCTGGGCGTGAGCACACCATTATGGCGCTTCGCATGGAGTCGGAGTCCGAGACCTTGCTCGCCTCGTTAACGCCGCCCTTCTCAGGCTCAACATCAACTCCGTCCTTCTGGGACTGGATGATGAAACGATTTATTTTTACACGTATCTATACAAGTTCCACGAGTAGGGTCGTAAAGGGTCGTCCACCCCGGCAGAGGCTCCCAGTACCGGGGTAACCCTATTGCATCCTGGAAGGGCGGGTGGTCTCCTAGGGAAGGCCGCCCGGTGGGTAGGCTGCATACTTCGCCTACCAACCCGCCAAAACGGGAGTGCCGCCGCCGCGCGAGGCCCCGTGGGGCGCCCCAGTGGCAGCAAATTTGAGAATTTTTTATTGTGGTTATTGTGCTGTGGTAGGCAGGCCCCCTGGTCCCAGTCGGTCGGTTGACTCTCTCGGGATAACAGGTCGCCCAGCGGTGGCCGTAGCCTGTCCGGACAGCTGTAGCGCCACGGCTACCGGTACCCGCCGCGCTTGCAAGCCCAGAAGGGCCTACTGGTAATGCCGCTTGGCAATCACCCCGCAGGTATTAGCCGTCAGATAGTAAGCAGGAGAATTACTATCCACCGTTGCCCGGGATGCAACGACCCAACGGCTACACTTCCACCCGGATCCCACAGGAATCAAGAAGGACGAGCAGTCGGCAAGGTTCCTGCTTCGCACTCCGACAGTACTACCCTGGACGAACTCTTTCACAAGCCGCACTACTGCTACTATTCAATCTTTTTTTTTTATTCTTATATTCACTCACACAATCATACCAGAGCCAAATTCGAAAAGTACATTTCCGTAATTGATTCTACCCGAGGAGTCGAACCCGGGACCTCCACATCCAGCGCCCACAATGTAAACAGTTAGGCCACTGAGGTTGGTATAATATACAAAGATTCAAATTTTATTCTGAACTATTTCTAACCCGAATTTTCCACTTGCTCTGTACACTGTAAGGTACTGTATGAATTTTCGGGTCTATTGCAAAGATTGATGTAAAATCTTTCTTCCCCATTATAAACACGTGAAACATTATTAACCGCCTTCAGAGATTCGCCATTATGTGGCTAAATCATCTTGACGATGTCCAATGAATATTGCCTGAATGTTCTGTGCATGTGACGCATGTATCCAATTTGAATCTCGATTCATTCTAAGTGGTTCGTCTTTATTAAGTGCGTATCGATAAATTACCTCTTTTACATTTGTAATTTTTTTTATGATATCTAGTGTTGGGACAAACTAATCGTGCACCTGGTGGTAAGCAACACGTCTGTTCATAGCAGTTTCAGTGCCGCTCAGATCTTTAAATCGCAAAGATGAGAGGGGCACTGCCACTGCGTCCGTCACCCTGAGACATCAGTTGAAAAGTCCCATGTGCCTGTTATTTCACCAGTGTTTCGAAACCGAAACGTAATTATGCTCATACTACTGCTTGGCGGCAGAAATAGGTAAGGTGGTAGTACTTCCCTGGATGAACTCTACTGCTATTAAAACAGTGTAGTTCGTAGTTATATCCAAATTAAGGGATGTTCTCTACCTATAACTCCACTGTTTGACAATAGCCTCACAAGAAAAGTAGGAGTTGCCGTAATTGCCTTGATGGGTAGGCCATCTCCTGGATTTATTCCACAGTAATTTAGTAACTGACTGACTTTCTTGACCCAAAAAAATCTTGACCTCTAATCCACGGTATCCTTGCTGCTATTTGTGATAACCTCAATTTTTTTTATGACAACAAGTGACGGGATGACCAAGTCATGGTTGCTGGCGGCAAGCGCCACGCCGATCTATAACAATTGCCGTGCCACTCAGAACTTCAAATCACAAAAATTTGAGGCGCACTGCCACTGCGCCCGTCACCCTTAGACAAGTTCCATGTGCCTGTAATTTCACCAGCACCCTTACCCTTAAAAACCGAAAGGCAGTAATGCTCACATAGTAATGTGAGCATTGCTTGACGGCAGAAATAGGTAATGTTGTACTTACCTAGACGAAATTTTTCACCAGGTGCTCTACTGCTACTATAGTTGTTTTTGATTCTCGATCTATTTTTTACGTTTAAATTAACGCTTCCAATTACAGTATCGACTGTATGCAGTTGATCATGGCTATACGTATTAAATGCAGACATGCCGTCCATACGTTGGCAGCCTTAGCGATTTGTGATTGAAAAGTCGTAAATACCATAAAAAGTTAAGTTTCGTCTGGCCACTAATAACGGGTCTCTCTTGTAGTGAATGATTAGAGAATTATGCACGATATGTCTTGGAAAATAAATGAAAAAAAAAAAGAAAACAGACTTGTGTATACAAGGCATAAATAGAAATTGTTTAAATCGTATTATTGAGATACTTGCACAGTAATCAGGAAGACTTACTTACTATTTACAGGTTTTCTGTGTATATACGTAAAATACAGAAACAGTTATATAATCAAAATTAAATTAACGGTTCTTCATTTATTATGTCCACTGGAATTTCTTGCACGTCTCATTGGTCACTATGCATACACAATGCTACGTCCACGCATGCAATTGCAGGCACAAATTGTGGAATTATTCATTATCGGACACAGTACTGTTTCTTGTTAACTTTTGAAGTCACACCTTTGTAGACTACTCTATAGTACGTGTGTTACATATGCAAGGGTATACAGCAATATAGTACAGCTTTTCTCAAAAGACATTCAAATTGAATGACCAGCTCGTTCTCTAACTGTAAAACATTAACATTACCAGCCTATCATCTTGTCTACAAAAGCGGCTTCAACTGAAAAATAATGTTACAGCAGTCGAGTTTTGGTATAGCTGAGTTGGATCAGTTTCAGCTTATAATTGTAATCCTTATTTTCTTCTTTTAAGTTTTAATAAGCTGAATAAATGTTTCTTTCTATCTTATTGCAGTCCTCCGCTGACACGTTGTTTTTCTAATTTATCTCACTGCGTTTGATCCTAGCCTTACTATATCTGGTATTGGCAAATTTACAGAAATTAGTGTTCTCAGTTATTGTATTTAAATTCCTTCGATCCCACTGGACTCGAACCAGCCTCAACGTGGCTACCGCTCTTCCAATCAAGCTACGGATCGAGTCATCAGCTCGGTTACCTATCAGTAGTCCGAAATAACATTTTCCAGAAATAACGTTTGCTCGAATTTTCATAACCTCGAAAGTAATTTTGGGAGGATTTATTTTTAACCCAACTTACCATTTTTTTTTTATCGGGGAAATGCTTTATGCATACCCTCGAGCCCGGGGAGGCTCGAGGGTTATGTGGGACTGACCCTCCGATGGAGGGCATACCCACTAAAAACCCCCGGCGCACCCCCTTGGCCGGCTGATGTGGGCACCGTGGGATCCCGAGGATTCTACCACAACGATGCCCCCGGCCACCTTGGCTTCTGCCAAAGTTCCCGCGCTAAAGAGGGGAGGGTCGGACGCTTAACCCATCCCCTCAGACGACGAGTGAGACCGTGCAATGCGGGCAAGGGATCCCCGTCTCTTGTCCGCTGGCCTCACTAGGGAATTAGGCGAGCAGCGAACTGCACTCGCCTTCTTCCCCGCCGCCTGCGCCGGAGCGTGAGTGAGAACTTATGAAAGTTTCTTCATTCAGCCACGTACCTTCACAGCTACCAGGAGACTGACAGAGTTGTCGATATATTAATTGCAATATTTTTGTTGAATATCTTGAGGTTTTACTACCTTCATATTCTTTTATTATTTGTGAAAATTCTCCACTAGTTTGTTATTATTGTTGACACAAGGATCGAAGAAACACAAAGAAAAATTACTTGAATCCGACTTGACTTCAACCAGCGTCTGTCGTCTTAAGTCAAAATAGTTATTTTTGATACAAGTGCGGAAAATTAGTCATTATTCACGAGTCTCGAGTCTCGATACAAGTGAAACTAACAAATCCGCACGTATATCAAACGACGTTTTTAATACATTTGCGAAAAAACTACATTGAAAGCAAAATAAAAATAAAATAGAAAAGTAAAAAGCACAAATGCGAAAAATCCAACTTTCGGCACGATTTGTGGCACGAAAAATACCACGTTTTGAGCAACTGTATTAAAAAATACTTTTCAGTTATTTTTTAAGAAGCACTCGTATAGGTACTGGTAGGTAACAGTGTACAAATTTGGTGTGCAGGTATTTTGAATTTAAGTCACCCTGATACCGTACATTTGCTACCACCTTTAAGACTGGTCCTATTTATTTTCCATCGATAGAAACATGATAAATATAGAGACCATTATCGTAAGTCAATAGGAATAACGTAAGTATCAAACTTTTTACACACTGTTTATGATGTTAAGTGGTTCACGTGCTCGCAACCGCTTTTTACACGTTTTCCTTACGTGTACAATCAGATTATTGACATACTTGACCATCGTGTAAGTTTTCCATGTCTGATGTAACAAGTAAGAAGTTCTTTTTAACAAGTTGTGGTGTAAGTAAGTAAGTAAGTATTTCCTTTCAATTGCTTTTTGGCGTTTTTGGTATATTGAACTTTAATTAAATAATGAAAGTGTGCAATGAACAATTTTGTAATGAAATAATAAAATTGCGTTACATTTTGAAGAAACAATAAATACCACAATGCGTTTATCACTCTATTTAAGGGCCAGGCTCATGGGGGTATAACCTCCTCCACTCCTCACGATACCAGTCCACTCTTTGACCTATTCATCGCTGCTCACTTTGACGTTCTTCTTTATTTGTTACTGTACGCCATTCTTGTTCTTCCTCTTTCTTATTCTCCGCAATGAGTTATCAAGAAACAAGTACTGTTTTTAAGTATTTTCTTAATTCTTTTTCAATATTCGATCTTATTCAGCAATAAAATGATATGATATATATAATGAAAATAAACTTTCAATTTTATTTTTTACAGAGTTTATCATCAGAGCTTCGTCACAGCAAGACGCCGCCACGTCGCTCGCCGGATGAGCGCTCAGCACCTCGTCCACCATCCGCGCCGGTACACCACGACCGCACTCCCCACACGCCGCATCTGTCCCCCAAGAAGGAGGCCTTCAACAACCTGCTCAATAAAGGCATTTCGGGTAAGTACAATAAACTATAAGAAAACACTTTACGATTTCATAACAGAAGTTAAAAATCTAGTTAGGGGTATGATTTCTTTTGACTTAGCGTACGGGATATGCAAACAGTCATTATTGTATAATAAAATTTCTTTTAAGTAGAAAAAAATTGATAAATGCCATATTTCTAATTTGCACAAACTAAATTTGCGGCTATTTAGATATGTAGCAGAATCTAAAACTTACGATCAATTTTTCCATGGCGGAGAGCTACTTGAAAAGGGCATTATTCTTGCATTTAGATCAAATCTTTTAAATTTTCACACGATATATTTGATAGTAGTAGAAAAACAAAAGAGTCGCAACATTTTCCATGACAAGAAACTTTTTCAAATGTCCTTTTACTTCGCGTTAATGTTTTGTTTTAAAGCGCCGACCGCCTAAAGTCCTTAATATTAAATTCTTTATTACTGCATCCACACATTTCAAGTTTCTCTTTAGACCGTATCTCAATAGTGTCGTAGTATAAGCAATACATGCAGCACATTGTACCGGGTCCTATTTATTCACCGTCACGCACAGCCCACGGTCCCTTTGTAGCTAACTCATCTCTACAATAATCTGGTGCTATAACCGCTATAATCCAATCTATAAGTGCTATAAGTAGTCTTTCATCGACGCTCGTTAAAACTTGCATTCGAATCGGCAAATATCAATTGCGTATTGATGAAGTAATAAACCGGACGGTTTAATGTTTCTTCCGCATCGTTGATATTGTACCGTTTAAGAACCTTTTTTTGATTTATCGATGTTAAAGTTTGCTCGGATAAGAAATTGGAGAAAGGAACCTTCTACATAAAGTGCTATATTCGGTTGCATTGACGATATTATATGAAAGATATAAGTAACACGTGGATTTGCTTCTACTCTATAAATAAGTATAAAATTTCGTGACCCCAACCAATTTCACGACCATTTTATCAGTTGCATAACAAGAAATGACGCAAATCTATCAGGCTCATAGAGCACCGGTCTAATTCCCTTCGTTTATTCCCTACGTAATAATTTTCCATTCATTCTCCTCTCTTTATGAATCATAATCTCTAAATCTACCGGTCCCCTGTCCCTTTCGTGTAACTTGAAATCCTGTATAGAGTGTCTCGTTCTAGTTCTTTTACCCCTTAAATCTAATCCGGGACATCCCGTCTGGTCGTAAGGCGAGCTCTGAGCGTAAGCCGTTGTACGCACGCTATGCACACATACATCGACTGTTCTATACAAATGTGACGTGGAAATAGTAAAGTTGAAAGTTGAATCGTTTGAGGTCTGGACAGGTCTAATAAGACTACACAGATCGTAAACAGAAAGGTTAAAGGAAATAGGCTATTGGGGATAGAACAGTAAATTTTATAAAGAAAAAGGATTGACAAAATGGATTTGGTATTTTGAGGAATAAATATATCTTTGTTTTATCATGGAAGTAACTCACTGACGAAAAAAGTTATTTGTACAGTTTTCGAATAAAACATTTTAAACCTGGCTGTAGTTTAATTTTAGGATCATATTCATGTCAGAAAATTCTCGTATGACGACACTTTTTTGTTACACGCAATAATATGCTATTTGGAAACTAACTTATTGCACTTTTAAGATCACATAATGTATGTATTTTATCTATAGATTTCATAACTAGAGCCATTTCAACAATAAAGTATTATTGAGTTCTTAGGTTTTCGCGTTTGTTACACATAGGAAATGAAACTATTTTTTGGATCTAAGTCGACCATATTTGTTTTTTCACACAAACCAAACGTTTCGGGTAGTAAATAATGCAATAGTAATAATGCGGGTAGCAAATAGTAAATAATGACCGATTGATTCTCTCATTTCTAAGTAGATATTTTCCACATGGCTTTTATACATTTGAAATAAAATAACTCTATCGAATTAAAAAGACAACTAGCACCTTTGCCGGTGGCGAGTGCTTATAACTCGTCTAATCGGTTGTATAAATCATTATTAATACCGCCGATCCGCCGATTAGCGATTGCACAATGCCCGACGGATTACCCGACAGATATATCTTTTTGTCAACTCGTACCTGTGTAGCATCAGCAAAACTAACTATCGTTCGTAATAATAGTGAATACTTGAAACACAGTTTTACAAACTATAAATTGTAACATTGTGCTTGAAGTTTTGTTTGGTAAATACATAGACATTTGTAATTGAATATAATAATATTGATAAATGTTTGGATAGCATGTGATCATCTGACTTCTAAATTTTAATACGTTTTCATTTGAAGTAGGCATGGTATCATCTTTAATGCGAGTTGTATGTATGTGTGTGTGATTTTTTACTTAAAACTTAGAACTCATGCAAAACATACTTCACAAATTGGAAAATATATTTTCAAACATCGCAGTGAGTAATTTTCTTTACAACACTACATTATTACGGAACGATTTTGCAAGTTGCTTCCCATTTCTGCATCTCAGTGTTTGTTTTGATGACGCTACTTAACGCATAAGCCGGTTTTATATAGACAAGCCGATTTATATTTTTTATTGTCCCGTGTTATTTTTTTTTATACATATTTGATATGTAAGAAATATAAAAGTAGTAAGCCGTGGTTTTATTGCCAAAATCAACAGTAGTTCTTTATTTGAATTACCATAATTTGTATGGGTTTTTATAATGTGCCAGACACCCATTTCATTTACCTGGACTCAAATTAGGGATTCCCTATTCATTACCAAAGCAATGAAACTACGTTTGGGAATTGTCATTAAATATCGCAATACTTTTTTTATGATACCAAGTATCAGGATGAACAAGTCGTGCGCCTGGTAGTAAGCATCACATCTGTCCATAATCGTTGCAGTGCCACCCAGAGCCTTAAATCACAAAGATCTGTGAGGCACTGCCGCTGCGCTCGATTCCCTGAAACATATATTGCAAGTCTCATGTGCCTTTAATTTCACCAGCACTCTTAATCCTTCAAAATCGAAACGCAGTAATGTTCACATTATTGCTTTGCGACAAAAATAGGTAAAATGGCAGTACTTCCCTGGACGAACATTTTCTCAAAGAGCTCTACTGTTACTATATAACAATAGTTGTTTATAATAATACACACAACTATAATTAATAGTTCAACGAGGTAACCATTACACGTTTAGCACATATATGTTTTAAAGGAAATGTGTTTTGAAAAAGCTACAAAATAGTACTCAGATATTTATTCCGTCAATAATCAATAAATAATCGATAATCATTGTTTTGTTTCTACAACTGCAGTCATCAAGACACTTAATTGGGAAAACGAAAATACTGTCGAATACGACTTAAGTATGTTAGTATGTTAGTATTAAGTATGTTAGTATGACTTAAGTATGTATTATGTAAGTGCCAGGTACGGAGTGCCACAGCAGAGTTAAACGGTGAACATTCTTTGCTAAAACATGTATTTTGCGTCATTTATATAGCATTAAAATTTGCATGTCCGCACAATAGCACGATGCGGCTTTGGACTTTGGACTGGCTTATCGTAATAGAGTCGAATTTAAATCTGTAGCATAAAAGTAGACGTGTCGTTGTCCGTACGTATTTGCACAAATTCTTGATAACGAGTCTTTGTTATAACAAAGATAATTCTGGTTAGGCACGTCCATCTCAATCCATCTTATCATAGAATAAAAGTATAAAATATAAATTTTAAATTTATTATCTCCATTATCTCCACTCATTTGAATTGCTCTTTATTCATCTACACATTATGATGAAACGCAAACTCACCTTGGATTAAAATATTTAAAATAAGCTTCTCATAATTTTCTTTCCTAATCCCAGATTAAAATTATGCATGAAGAGAAAATGCATGTGTAATCCTGCGCAGAAAAAGTAAAGGCGATTAAAAACTTTCAATCTGCAATACTGAGGCCGGTTCTTAAGAATCTAAAGTTTGTAATGCGACGAGACGCGCGAGAATTCGTTTTGTTTTGTGCTTTACATAGAATTAATCTTTATAATTTAGTGTTTATGTTACGCGAAGAACTGCGCCAAAAATGTGTTAGACTTTGATAAATACTTGCCCTGTACGCATGGTTGCACAGAATTATATAAAAAAAATAGTTTTCCAAACGACAGAAGGTGCCAATTAGAACAGGAAATTTTGTTGGCTATTACTCATTAGTGTGGCTATCTGTGTCAATATACAAGGACTAAGTTTATTTTATTTATTTTCTGCACTATGCACTATTTTCAAGTATTTAGAGCCATCGAAAACTTCGCAAACGCAAAATAAAATCTCTTTTTGATTTCGCAGTACGTCATCATCATCCCCCGATAAAATGGGTCGGTACACACGTACAGGATGTGTACGTGTGGGTGAGCTTTATCTCCTCGCGACACGAGGATGATCCAGCCGGATGATCCGGATGAGCGCGCGATCCCCACGGCCCGAATACACTCCCATCAATATAGTACACACTTTTATTCATTACATGTAGTATTTTGCTGATATATATAATCATCGCAAATTTTATATATAATGTGGACAAATGAAAAATTAATTGATAGTTTTAATCGCAGTATGGGATTAATTATCTGAAATCGGAATGTGGATTGAATTGAATCGGCCGCAGGCAACATTTTAAAATTGCTGTAAATACGAAAACCGGTCATCTTCTCGCGCTAAGCGTACATTCTCGGTATAGTAGGGTTTAGCTATCTGTTAAGTACGGCAATTTTTTGATATTTGCAGTTAATATTTTTAATCCCCGACGCAATAAGAGGGGAGTTATAAGTTTGAAGCCTTTGTTAGTGTATCTGTGTCTGTGGTATTGTAGCGGGAGCTACAATATTACAATACGTTTTGCGTTTGGGAAAACGGATGGACTGATCTCAGTGTTTTTTTTATTTGAAGGCTGCTTTGATTGGAATGATTGTTATCTATATTTGATGAAAAGTTGTTTAAAGGTCATCAGCTCTTTTCCCAGTTAGAGGGTCTCTGTCAT